TTCTTGGAGTTTTTCCCCAAACCTACTATAATCTGAAGTAAAAAAAAAAAAAACCTGACAAGAAAATACCCAAACAGCGCATAAACATGTGGGGTTTTGTTCTTGTCAAATATCCTCTAACTTGAGAAATGTACCAAAAAAAAAAAAATCAGATATAACACCTTGATCTTCTAGAAGAAAAATATTTTGGTGGAAAAAAGATGCTTTTATTCCCCATTAGCTGGCCGTAAAAAATGGAAAAAAGTAACCTAAAGGAAATACAGGAAATATGAAGTACAAGTTACTAATCAAAACATTTTTCATAAGTTATTGCATAAGTTACTGCATGCTTCAGGGAGCTATGAGGCTCTGTTGTCACAGACAGATTAATATAAGTTTAAAGTTCACAAAGATCTGCAGGACTTGGAGACAAATCATAAGTGAGTCCATTGTAAAGAAGCTGCAACATAATTCTTTTGAGAGACAGAAATTACAATGTGCAACTGCAAACATCGAAGTTCATTTGAAAGACCTGTCCTCCTCAGCCCCCTATGGCAGCTTTTCTGCCATAGCTTACTTTCCCTCCAGTTGCACCCATCAAATTTTTGCAAGATAGGTGAAATGATTCTAGTTAAAATGAAAGAAAACACTATTTCACAGCAGAGTATTAAGAGTTAACAGCTGGAAGGGTGGGAATAAATAAGTTTTGCTGCTACAGGATTGTAATGTGGAGCATACCCTAAGAACATCTTACACAATTCACGTTCTACAGTTAAAGTGAACGCTCCTAAAGCAAACTAGGGCAGTTTGAAAAGGGCGTTTTCCTTAAAAACATTGTAAAGTTCAAATTAAAATGCAAGGCCAAAACAGTTTGGAATATTTACCATCATGATTAATTGTATATTTTTGTGTGTTACAGGAGCCAAACAAATAGTTTCATAAGCAGAAAAAATGTATTTTCTTACGAAATTGCATCTTATGCATTTTTTCATACTAAATAACGTGAACTTTGACTCAAGATCTGTGTAAAGCTGAACTATTCGTAGTAACACTTGTACTTCTTCCAGTTCCTCATTTTAATAAGTTTATCAGAAGTTAATGTCTGAAAATCTAATGTCTGAGACTTTTACCAGTTAATAAGGTTCAATTACCTTTGCAAAAAGCAACTTGGGGAAAATATGGACAGACACACACAGAGAAGATATGGCCACCATAAGCCACATTTTCTTAGAAAGTGAGATTAAAAATACAAAAAAAAAATATACACAATCTAAGAGAAAGCAGATAAAATCAAGCTGGGAGTTCATTGTGCCATGTGACAGCATGCTCTCTATTTTCACTGTAGAAAACACTGTACAACAAAAAGATCTGAAATTAGAGCAAAAATGTTCCACCCTCAAGCCAAGAAAAACAACAAGGATGCTACAGGAGGAACGAGAAAAGATCTGAAAATTACTTGTAGGATAAACAGTTAACTTTTTCTTCCCTCAAGAGGGGGAAGAAGGTCAGTTTACAAGATATCTTCTTCCTTCCATTTCCAACATGGACATTTCTAAGAGCCATGTTTTCTTTCCGCATCCTCCTTTCTGTTTCCTCTGTGCCCATGTAAACTTTGCCTTCTTCCTTATTTTCCACAGTCCTCCCTTTGTCATTCTCCTGTATTTAGTATCTCCGCTTGGTCCTCTTTACGGCCTCTCATTACTTAATTTTCATTGCTCTTAATCAAAACTAACCACCTTCTGTGGAACACAAAAAAAACAGGCTCTGCTTTTGGCTTAAGTCTACAGTAGGTGAGCGTTACAACACACTATCATGCTTGACATCATCACTAAAAACACGTACGTGTTACTGAGTACCAGAAATGATGCAAAGTGAAAACATATGGCACATATATATAAAAACATGAGTTCTAACTTTAAAGATTATCCATTTGTAAAGTGAAGTAGTGAGGTTTTTTACTAAAAGAAATTCCCTAATACATGTTTTTTGTTATTGGATGGCTTAGATTCATTGAACTTCAAATAATGCAAGTGAATGATACCTGATAAATGTCCTTCTTGCATGATTTTGCCTATGTAGATTGGATGCAGGCAAAATGAAATCTTTGAAAATCTACCCCATTTTAATTTTCTCTTAAAAAACAAATCAAAATCAAACACGTTTAGACATTAATTAAACACAGGAAACAGAGTTTATACCAAAGCCTATGTCCAAAGCCTAAATTAAAGCTTACTTTGGCATATTGTTCACACTGGCCATTTGGGAGGGGTGGGGAAATTGTTCAGACAGAAGGAAGAATAGGAAGAACTTGCTTGTCTTGGCTACTTTCTCTCATTTTTCCATTCTTTCTTTCTTTCTTCTCCTGTGTGTAACACCCACAGATTTCCTAATGAGATGGTATGCGACCCACCACACACTGCTGTGTGGGTGTAACTTAAATGAAAAAAGAAATCTAAATTAACAAGTAACATGCATGGATATTTATATTATGCACCACAAAATTGAAAGGTGGTATTAAATAGTATTAATATTAAACACAATATAACATTAATACTAAAAAGAGATTGTGATAGGTGAAAATTTTCTCTTCAAAATAGTTATAGTAGCCAGCTTAAGAACAGTCTTCTCTGTTCAACAGATCTAGACAGCCAGACGAGATCTGCTCATCAAAGTAAGGTAGCTTGGCATCTATTTCTGAAGAAAATCCTAATACAACATGCTTTGATATGAGGGGCAGTCTAAAATCTTACTAATATTGGTCTAATAATTCTAATACATTTAGAATACATCCTACAATGTGGAGATCAAACTAATTAAAATTGACGTGAAAAGATGCAAGTTCCAATAGGGGTGGAATGCTGGCTTGGGATATTTGAAGTAGTAAATAACCAGCTAATAAGCATCTTAATGTTCCTTCTGTAGATACACTCTTCCTTACAATAGCAAGGGTTTTACAGCAGTGAAACTCTAGACACAGACTTGCATAACTTTGAGCAAAAGAAACCACATTCAGTTTGAAGAGCTCAAAAACTTTTAATAACCTCCAAATACAACAATAGCTGCAAGCTTCAACATTTCACCAGCAGCACCTACAGTATGTGTATGTAGTTAGCCACATACCAAGCTTCTGCATTTCTTTGTATACTACAAAACACTGTCAGCCAACACTGGCCAGCTATCTTGCATTTCATCTGTTTGTGGAAAAACACGAAACCATACCACCGTACTCTACGAACAGAACCTGTGATCCTAGAGAGGACAGCAGAACACAAGAGGTTTCGGAGCCAGGGTTGAGTGATGACAATTGCTAGAGACTATTGGACTTGTGGCTCACCTAAAAAAGGTCAGTCCCTTAGAGGTAGGTCCCAGTTGCTCCAGAGAACACCCACCTATTCTGTTATTTCCTTTTCAGGTAAGAACAGACTTGAATGGAACTTGAATAAACTTGATTCTTGGACTTGAACAAAGCACTCCCTTCTTACAAATTACAGCCCTGAGCAAAGCAGGCTGAGAGAAGAGGAAAGAGATGGATTTGGAAATTAAGTTCAACATGAACGTTCATTATCACAGACTGTTTTCTTCCTTTATTTCTTTAGTGTTAATTAATGACGGTGAGATAACTACAGAAAACTGATGGAACGGTAATTCTGCCTCATCCAAAGTAAATATTCTTTAATCTAAAACTGTCACAGATATTACTGATGACCTCCTCAAACGCATATCCTTAAGTTTTTCATTTTCAGGAATTAAGGGGAAGAGTCAAGCAGAAGATCAGTTCACAACCCTGAGACAGCATACCAGTATTTTTACTGAAAAGTTCATGATATAAAATTAAATAAGACCCTAAAATCTCACCAACACCTTCAAACTAGTGTGGCATCTGTCTGCATATATAAAAACAATTCTTATGTCTGGCAGTTTTATCTTACAAAATCATTGTTTTTGAAAACCTACTTTTTACTGAGGCAGGAAACTTTAAAAAATAAATAATAAAAAATATCACTTAGTAAAAGAAAACACAGATAGACCTCAATAAATCTCAGAAATTCTGATCCCACCCTCTGTAATGTCCCTCTGCTTGCACTGTAAGAAAATTCTATTTGTTCATTCAAAACCAGAAACACACAGGGATCTAAAAGTTCACATGCTTTATAAACATCAATAATATTTTAAAGAGATAAACTGTAGGTACAACTTGCAAGGAAAAAAAGAGGTTGAAAATCCTTTAGTGTCCTGAAGCACTTTTTGCTTATGCAGTATTGGGTTCTCGTGGGTAGAAAAAACCCCCTCCTGTCATGCCAGAACAATCTGGCTCCAATATATGGTTAAAATTTTGCAATAAGCCAACCATACAGTATTTAACCTGCGTTTTCTTTATTAAAAACACTTATTAATATTGATAATAGAGTTTAAAGCTACAACCATCAACTAGAATTCTACAGGAATATATCTTTTCAACAACTGAAAAACCTTTTGAGAGGTACAGAATATCATAGACATTGAATTAAAAAAATTGTATCAGTATAGTGATTGTGTATTTTAAGTATGTAATTACATTCATTGCAGAACTCATATTTCAGTAGACATCTATTTCAATATATTTAAGGCAATGTGAGAAACCATGGCCAACACAGAGCTTTACTATTGCAGCCCTTATTTTCTGTGACAAGTTTATAACATGCTCCAGGCTGGTAATAAAAAAAAAAAAATTATTTCCTAAGAACCATTTAAAAATAAATTGCTTGTGTGATATAACACCAACAGATAAGCCTATCAACTGTAAAACCCATCATTATGACCACAATAGCCAGTGAAATAACATTAAACAAAAACTGGCAAGCCATTTAGCCCCAGAGTTGATCCAACATTAAAGCACAAGCTATAGTGATCATTATCTTTAGTTCAAAGCATGCAGGTACTGAAATGCACCTATTAGTCTCATCACCCTCACATAAAGAATTGCAGTTTCCACCATACTTTATCTTACTTTATTTCATCACAAGTTAAAGAATTTATTTTACCAGTAAGAAACAAAGGGCCAGATGGTGCATATTCCATTGATTTCCCTTGACCACGTTGTTTAGGTGCTTCCAAGTACTGTTTGACCCTTGAAGCAACAACTTCTTCTAGCAGCATGCAGACCTCCTGAAAGAGCAACCGTTGGCCTATTTAGATCTAAATTTACATACATGCCCACAGATCTACAGCAGAAATCAATACAAAAATCACTCCCTTTCACATAAAAAGAACAAACATTATGTGCAATTTAGTACTGGGGTATTACATAGAGGTGAGAAGCACAGAGGTGAGAAGCACACAATTTAAGGAAATGAATGGAAACAAGGAGGGAGGGGAATCAAACAATTTTGCTGCAAAACAAGAGAGGAAGTACATTATGAAATTCTCACTTAACAGATGAAATACATTATATTACATTATTAATTTCTGAACAGCAAAGTAGTTTCATTTGTATGCAAGGCAGGAAAAAAAACACATGGTAAAAATGTATCATAACATGAGATATTTAAGTAAAATATTAGTAAAAAAGCCTCCCAGGAATTGTCAACACACTATTACCCTGCAAGAATCCTTATTAACCACAACAGATATTTTGATTCAATTCAGTGTAATTTTAGGGGGAAGACTCAGAGCTAATTAGGTCACAGCGATCTAATTTCTCTACTTCATTTGGCTTTTTCTGCTCCTAAACACAACCATTCACATCTTTCATACTTCCTTCAGCAAAGCACAATAAAAACCACATACAACTCAAGAACAAACCCTTCAGCCAGAATAACCATAGAAAAAAAAACGTGGAGTAAAAGCAAAAAATTAATCTCTGGAATACCAGAATAAGTTTTCAGATGAATACGTACACACATACTTGAGACTTTTCCCTCAGTATTCTCATTTTCCACTGTGCATAACCATGTGCTCACAGAAACGATACTTTGTGGCACACAAAAATATCATTTTACATTTTTACAGTGTTTGGACAATAGAAAAAAGTACATTAGTACTATCTAAACTAAAATACCTTGGCTTGAAATTTTGTTCTGATTAATCTAGAAAATATGCAGAGCAACAAATTTTTAAGTATCGCTCTGACTGAAAGCAATGCACATATATTGGTCAACCACAAACAGTGCTTTCCCTTCACAGTAAGAAATTAATTTTCCCTTCTGCTTGAAGAGTACAATTATAAAATACTATATTTACTTATTCTTCTGTTTAACTCATTAAAGTGATCTCATTACACATTCCTTCACAGGACTATGTGTTCAGGTTAGAATGAAAAGGTCTAGAAAGCAGCGGAAACATAGCATGCATTTAGTTCCTTCTGCAACAATAAAGATTAGCATGCACTTCTTAATTTACATGGAAAATATTTTAGTTGTTATACTTATGGAAATACTATTTAAATGGTTCTCCACAGAGAACTATACAAACCTGTATTTAAGAAAGCATAAACAAGAGCAGGCTTCGAGAGAATTGTCTCTACGTACCTTTCACTGCTAAAAAGAACTTGTAACTGAGACCCCTCTATACGCATATGGAGAGATCACAGCATTAACACGACTAGAAATCAGTTTAATAAATGTTTCCCGGAGTACAAAGATATAACTTGTAACTTTTTTATTCCAGTGGAAAAGAGACAGGACAAAAAGGGCAGGGAAGTTTGAAGGGCAGAAAGACAAAAGCTCCCAAATGCCTCAATGTGTATCTTGCAGCAATCCCAAGATGACTCTATATACAACACGTGTGACAGCAGTGTGCAAATGTGGTCCTTACCACGTTACCACCAATGCCCAGCTCAACACAGTGCACTGTATTTTCTTACACCAGCCTCATACTTATGGGCACTCCTTTAGTTCCCAGCCTGCTCTACACAACCCGTGCTTCAAGCAGGAGCTGGCAGCAGACAGGCCAGCACTGCTCCCTCCTCCTGCGTGGCACTGCATTGCCAGGCTCCATTTGCTACAAACAGAAGCCACTGACTTTCATCCATGGTAAGCAGGGGATCAGCAGAAATCGTGTTCGTGTTACAAGGGCTCTAAGAGGCATCTGCTTTTCCCACAGACAAGCAAAGAGGGCTGTACCACCATTAGTATTGTCCAGAATTTGGAAATAACAAAAATGAAGAAAACTGCTTGCAATGAATATGTAAAAGCTCTCATAAACAAACAAAAAAAAAGTAGGTATAATTTGCCTATAATACCTTACTGACCTTTTTCTGCCCACTTTAACAAAGATTCTGCACAGGACTTTCAGGAAGCGAACTGTAAAGCTGATTGGAATTACACTTCTCAGTTGTTGAAAATATGCAACCTTTGTACTTCGCTCAAAATGTGCGGTCACAGAAATGTAATGAATGCTGCCCCGTCATGCCTCTCTATTAAATCAATCATGATCTAATTTCCTGAAATTCATATCTTTTGTTTTGGCAGTCTTACAAAATACATTTTGAAAACACTTAAAAGTCAGATAACCAGGAGAGTCAAAAACTGGTTATAAATAGAAGACGTAATAAGTGTTCATCTATTCAGAAAAAGAAGTCTAAAAGATTTCCCCTATTTTCTTCTTTCTCTGCTTAATAAAGCACAAATTGGATGAACCACATGCTGTTAAATATTCTGCTTTCACTACCTCAGGATATTAATTTATTGTGTCTTTTAATTTCATTTAAACATATTACTTTGAGATGCATGGGGATGCTCTGCAGTGACAAGTTAATGATGCCATCATTAGGAAAGCTATCTGCTGAAAATTACCGTAACAGAGACTTGCGGGAAAGTCCACAGGCATTTGAAACATGTCCTGCATTCGTTTTCAATAGGGAACTTCTCAAGTTCCCACACAGACTGAAACAGGGGAAAACTCCTGCCAGTAACTCATCACAAGATTGTAGCAGAAATCACACTGAATCTGATGAAAGTGACATTCATAATTTTGCTGCTCACAGATTTTCCAAGATTTCATCTGTTGTCAGGATATACACATGATACACTTAAAAATAAAGACTGGGAGTTTCTTTTCATATGATATAATGGTTCTACTATAATTTATCATGCATAGTCATGTTTTCTTGCACTCTCTAAATGCAACATCATTCACACTTCTCAGAATGAGAAAAAACAATTAATAGAAAGATATTTCACCAACAAGTTCTGCAAAAATGATACCTGTCACAATATGGTCTATATCACTGAGGATAATTTACAAACATTAATAAGAAATGTGTTTTTAAAATAAAAGTTAAGTCAGAAGAATCAAAACAGCGTGCACACATGAATGTATGCACACACACAGAGTCTGAAAATTAAAAGGCAAATTGAAAGTGGTCATTAGTGACCCAAAAATCACATATGGCTGACTTAGGGGTCCCACAGCAACCGTTGATGATTAGGTGTAACTAACAGTATTCTCATAACACTGAAAAATTCTGAACAGTTCAAGGCAATCCAACTTTTTCCCTGCAGCCACATGCTTTTGAAGTAGAATTGATATTTGTTGTACCTCTTTCTCATGATCTGAAAACCAGCTGGTGTCTTTACTGGAGCCTTGAGGCAAAATACGAACATCCACCAGAACAGCAAAGTTCCCACACTGAAAAAAAAAAAAAAAAACAAAGAAGAAAAAAAAAATGTTCAACTGTAGCTGCTAGGAAGCACATATTGAGCAGACAAGGAGGTAAACAATCAGGTAAGCATGTGTGTCTGATTCAGAGATACAGCAGGCAGAACATAAAACTGAGGAAGTTTATGAAGTATGGAATTACAAATTTACCATTGTTTGTGGGCTTAATGAGAAACAAGAGCACTAGACCTATCTTGAATTGCTCACAGGAAAGTTTAAATAACAAGCATGAGTACATGGAATTTTCTTCTGCAATCCGTATGCCATTTTTAAATCTGAGTTCGTGCAAATTTTAACATGTGAAAAATTTGCTATTCCTTCACTGAACTCCCATCATTCTATTTCCTAAGAATTTAGTACCATATTACTTATCTAGTTCGTATTTTAAACTTACTAACTGCTTAAAAACTCAGACTCTTCAGAAGTCTTTTTCTCTCTCCAACCTACCTAATGTAAAGAACAGCAAGTCTGAAGAACTTATGGTAACTACCTAATATTCATTGACATCTGTCATTTAGCCAAGTCAATATTTTGGTTAAACAATACTAAGGTAGTATATATAGTTGTTAGGATGATACAGGCTACATTCCAAGACACACAAACTATTTCTGAAATTCCTTGGTACGCTTTGAGGATAGTGTGACATACGAGGTTTAATTATTTTCCTTCGTCAGTTGGTCAGTCATTACAATGACCTTCTAATACAAGGCAGAGTGAACAGCACAAACACATCTCCTTAGTTCTGCTTGGCACTAACTAGCAAGGGAATACTGCCTCTTTTCATGCACAGAGGTATGGTGCATTACAAGCTAATGCTTCCCCTTTCTCCTACAGTAACACAGCGCCAAATCTCACTCGGACACCCTTTAACTAAACAACTTGCAAGGTAAAAGCCAATTTCATCATTCTGTGTTGGCTGTTTGTGCCACACTTGTGATGCAAGAAACTCACTCTGAGAAGACTGGACATGTGCGGTCACAGCAATTGCACATCCGGAATGTCTGATGGAATGGAAACAACATCCCCATTCCAGACAAGTCTCAAATGTACATGTACAATCCAGCGTTAGATTGGTCTCATTTCCAGTGGACGTTGCAGCGCACGCTTCCTGTCTTAACTCACTCTCTCCCTCCCCATTTTTGCTCTTCTCTGCCAAACATCTGCAAACACCACACCAGAACTCAAAATACTCTAGAATTAGTTCTAGAAATAGTATGATACATATTTTTACACTACAGTTGTAAATCATCTACAGTCTCAGAGGCACATCTATATCTTAAGCTTATGGTATAACAGAATTACAGTCTTTGAGGGTGCCCTTACCTGTACCGTTAGTACAGACAAAGAACAACAAGATTTAGCATCAATTTTATTAATCATGACAGCGTATTTGGCAAATTAGAAACCTCTGTTTATAAAACATTTAGATCTGTACATTATCCATGAACAGAAATATTTAAATAATTATTTAAATATAATTAAAATATAATTTGTGACTAATGTTGTATTGTAACTAGAATGCAAAAGTTTTGCAAACGAGACAGGCATTGTGAAATCATTTTGAGAAACTTCTAGGTTACTTATAGGTATCAGTCACTGAAAGAACAGAATGCTTTGATCTATTTTATCAAAAGGCTTCTCTTTCCTCCAGAGAACCAAGAATTACCAGATGGCTGCAACAGCAAACCTCTCCAAGCTTTAAATTGATGACAAAATATCTCTCAAGAATCTCTGGTGAATCATCAGTCAGCTCCAGCAAACTTTTGAGTTGACTACTGAACTTCAAAGTTAGAACACACTGCCTATTATGAAGAGAAAGCCAGTAAATTATTCATGGTTCAGCACTTTTAACAATGAACAAGTATTTGATACATCAAGAAAATTCAAATTATCAAATGCTACATGTTAACTTGCATCATTTTCTATTGACTACAGAAACTTTACACATTAATATAGATGCAAAGTATAGACTTGTTTTTCAAGGACAGATAATGTTTGTAATTATTTTCTTTCAAATGGCAATATCTGTCTCATTTGCAAGTCTTGAAACAACAGGGAAAAAAGAAAATAATGAACCATATTTGAAACTATATAAAGAAACAGTTCAAAATTATCTTAAAATATCACAAACAGACCAAATATTTGCAGTACTTCAAAGAAAAACAAATATATGCAAATGAAGCTTAAATCCTTCTAATAGACAAGCTTTCTCAATGAAAGATTTCTACCCTTCTGAGTTTTGGAGTGCTGTTCTTGTAGACAGCATACCTGGGACTACTTCAACATCCAAAAGCCAAGGGTTTTGCCACTCAATTAGAATATCTTTGGGACAGGACACAAGGAAGCATAACTGTCACAGACAAAGAGGAATAGGGGGAGTAAGAGAACACAAGCACAGGATCTTTCTGAGTCTTGTTACCTCCTGTTTTTCCTAAGTCCTGAACACGATATAAACAATAGCTCCCATGGAAACTCCTTTGCACTCTCAAATTATACAATACATCATATACCCTACACCTGTATTTACACTTTATATGCCTTCACATGGTACCACTTTATATGTGATATTTACACTAAGCAGCTCAATACAGCTTTGGCTGCTCCAGCAGCATAGTTCTGTGTACAGACTAAATTCCAATACAAATAATTACGCGGAGCAGAGGGAAGTGGAAGAAAAATGTCAACTGGTTATATTAACAGATTTGATGATCTTATAAAAGTTTCTAAATTTTAATTTTTATTCTGAAGTCATGCAAATCCATGAAAATACTAGCTTTTATTTTAGAGGAAATGTAGCATTTCCAGTCATTTTGGGTGCAAGAAGCAACTCATGCACTGTAATTGAAAGGCAAACAGGAACGGGAATTTCTAATTTTATGTTTTCAACCTTAATCTCAAAATTTGCCCTGGAAATTATTTTTAGAGGTGCGATCATCAAAACTGAAACCCGACTTCCTGATTTGATGAGAAACACTTTTGTCAAGAATCAACAGAAAAACATTTCACTGAAAAACTAAAGACAAACAGATGCGCCAATTTGATATTCTCCATAACTCTAGAATCCAAAACCTCTTCATTTTTACAAGCTGTTTTTCAATGTTAACATACTTACTGTAAGAGTCTAATAACATTCACTGTGTTATTAAACAAAGGGCTTTAAATGATCTCAGAACGTTGTTAGTGTATTGTACAGCAACAACATCTAATTCAGAACATATTTTCAGAAATCAAACTGTTTATACAAATACATCAAACACTTCATAGATTCTGCAAATGGAAAAGAACCAGACACGTAACGCAAACAGAATGAATACCAGCGCAAAGTGGTAAGTCAGTCAAGGAAAGTCATCTGCTCATAATGTGTTAAAGCCTTGGCCCAGGATAAGCACATATTAGATGGTGGATTATTATCTCAAATCTACCAATATGCAGATAAACCCAAACAAATAATTTTTACTGCTATACTCATCTCTACAGTCAGGGTGTTCCTACATGGGTATACGCATTTCTTTAAACTGCATCACTTCAAATAGCATAAAAACAGCCATTACAAACAAAAATACGTGGGATGCTGGGGCTAAGCATGGTGAGTTTGTACTCAGTTACATCATTCAAAACGTGCTGTATCATTAAAGCAGACAGGACTGGACAGCCAGCCTCCCAAGACACATATTAGCATTTCCCATTTCTGTGATTATTCTACAGATGTGGGCTGTAGGGTCAGAATTAATTGAAGCTTAGTTGAAAAGGAAACATATGATAGTTTGGCTAGCTTTTGGGGGCAGGCGGGAAGGAGGCGAGCTGCAACTGTCACACATGCTTTCACTTTCCAGAAGATAGCTGCAAACACAGGTGACACCATCAGTGCAATGGTAGTAGTTGGCTTGACATTTGTTGTCTCTGGTTCAGATCAGAATGGTCTATGTAGTACCAAAAGCTTGGGGAGTTTATTAACTGACCTACAGAAAGACAGTACCATTCTCCATAAGCCCTGCTTTGTCAATAATCAATTTTAATTAAAGATTATTTTGAAACACATTTCCCAGTTCCACTGTGAGAAGCATGCCCAACACTGTAAAACTTAGTTCTCCAAGCTAAGCATACAGGGACTGCTTCTTTCTAATGTTACCTCTTCCCTTAAAGTTGTGGTATTTAGTTACAGTGATAATTTCATTCCACTCTCAGATGATGTCAATAGTTCAAAAAAATAGACTAGATCCTGATGATCACTCAAAAACGTCACGATGCTGAAAAGGGCTTCCAAAGGCATAACTGATAGGAGGTATCTTCAGTCTCCAGGTGGTAAAAGAATGGCTAAGAGATTTTTTTTGGGGGTTTTTTGGGGGGGATATTATGTGGAATGTCTTATAATAAACAGGAAAATTGTAATATATTCCATCCTTCAAGTTCTTTCTAAAAAATCAGTAAATTTTCTACGTTGAATTATCCAAGTTCAAACATCTACAGCATTAAGTACAACTACATATTGTCACTGGCCTGTACACTGTGCCAACTATATTATGACAATGTATGGACACTCTCTTAACCTTTTCCAGGCTTTTTAAAGCAAAATTTGTTCTCCTCTTCTATCTTCCTGACCCCAAAGAAAATCATAGAATCATTAGGTTGGAATAGACCTCTAAGATCATCAAGTCCAACTGTTGACCTAATACCACTATGACATGTCTTCCTTTTGTTTATATATTAGCACCAATGATTTTCAGTATTTTGGATCTTTTTCTCTTCCAGAGCAACAGCAACAGACAAAAAATCATTTAAGTGAGTGTACAGCACAGGAGAGGTATTTGTCAGTACACAAAATCAATTTACTTTTCATTTACAAGCATGTCTAGAAGCTCTATGATTTAAGGCAATATACAGAGTTTCCCAAACTACAGGACACACTTTTTCAGGTAGTCAAATACCTCAAACTGCATAAACTCACAGCTCAGGATAGCTCTTTATGCCATCACCACTGTTGATGGCTATACGGGAGCAAAGAAGGTTTGGTGACACCTGACATCATACATTTTTCATTCTTTTAAGAATTAGATGAAGTTACAATTTGACATGGGCACAGCACCTGCTAAGAGGAACTTGTGATAATAAATAATTTTACCAGCTGATTTAGAAAGAGTGCAGAACAGACTAGAGAGAAGGCTCCAGAAGAAGCCACAAGCACGAATCCTCAAGGAATTTATAATCCAAGTCCATTCTTCAGAATGCTTAACAAGCAAAAGTCAGAGGTGGGTGTGTACTGTTGACCTCTTGTCTTTTCTGAGTAAGAACCACTTGGTTCTGGGAATTTTTAAAATCTTGTAGCTTGTTATAAATATTCCCTGGCTCTGAGGAGACAAGTCGTAACCCAAAACCATCCTCTGCACTGAGCCATTCACTATATTACTGGAGAATCCACAGCTGCTTGTACTAGATGCAAAATTTGGGCCCCTCTCTACAAGAAGGACACTGAGGTGCTAGAGAGGGTACAGAGGTAGGCTACCAAGCTAGTTAAGGATTTGGAGCATGTCTCTCATGAGGAACGGCTGAGGGTTCTGGGGCTGTTTAGCCTGGAGAAGAGAAGGCTGAGAGGAGACCTTATCGCTGTGTACAACTACCTGAAAGGAAGTTGCAGCAAGGCAGGGGTCAGTCTCCTCTCCCTAGGAACAAGCGATAGAACAAGGGGAAATGGCCTTAAGCTGCACCAGGGGAGTTTCAGGCTGGATATTAGAAAGAATTTCTTTACTGAAAGGGTTGTCAGGCATTGGGACAGCCTGGCCAGGGAGGTGGTGGAGTCACCATCCCTGGAGGTGTTTGAGAGACAGGTAGATGTTGTACTTAGGGACACGGTTTAGTGGTGTTGGTAGAGGTAGGACAAAGGTTGGACTCTGCGATCTTGAAGGCCCCTTCTAACTAAAGCTACTCTATGATTCTATGATCTTGACTCACAAAAAGGAGAAAAGATGGAAGATGTGCACAACTGGAAGAGTAATTAGAAACTCATACGCACAGACTTAAACTCTGCTATGTTTCAGAAAACTTTACAGCATCTGGGCTGTATATTGCAGTTTTGCAAGTGTCCAGCAAACAACAAGGCTTTGGAAATCTCAAATGGGATTCTATTTTATTTACTAGAGTTGTAAAAAAGCTTTGACAAATGGCTGGTCTTGTTAAAGAAGGATTATAATCATCAGCTGACATTGCCTAGATCTTTAGCCCCCTGCTTTCAAAAATCTATGGGATCACTCTGCAACTGTAAAAAGCGACCAGCAGATCAACAGCAATGGATATGGGGATTTAACTTGAAGATCTATCCTCAAAGATAACTGTACTAAATTATATACAGATTCAGCAGAATTGGACAATGTAAAATGCATTCAGACTTTCCAAAAGCAGGGAGGAAATTCCCTCTTTTATAACCTGATAACAAGTTATATTTAAGTAATCTTTCGGAAGTGGCTGGCTTGCTTTTTTAGGAGTATAGTTTATATATGAGAAATTCCTAAAGGGAGGAGTGTTTAATTTTCTTGTGTTTTAGTGGAAGAAAAGAAGCAGTTATCTGAAAATTCAATCAATGAGCTACAGAAGCATTAAGATCATATTCAGAGGTTCCCATGCCAAGTGAAGAGGTGCAAGCAGAGAACAAACCTTTAAAACAAACTTTTGAGAAATGTGGTCTGAGAACGCAACAAGAATCTAGGATGCAACATCAAGGCAATATTTTAGAGTCTTAGAAGATGCGGATGGACAGGATATTAAACATAAGAAATGATGGGAAAAAGAAAACAAGAAATACTTATGAATGATTCAACCCTTAGGAAAATGTAAAGAAATCTAAGTAGTTTCAAATCTGATGGAGGTGAGTATGATACTGGAGACTTGCAAATTAAGGACTAACATGCTCTTGTTAAAGCACATAATTGCAAGAGATCCACCCAAATAAACAGATTAAAATAAATTAATCAAGACAACTCCTTCAAGAACACCCTAAGTATCTGCTGAGGTAAAGGATCTGCACATTTTTAACAACATAATGCTTCAGTGCAAACAGAGCCCTTCAGTTCATCACCCACAGTCAGGCTAAGGAGTAATTACTTAATCTAAACATCTGAACTGGTCTTGGAAAACTGCTCTATCAGGTACAATGTGGAAAAAAAAAAAAAAAAAAAAAAAAGAGGCCTAAATTGCATGAGAGAATTAAGCTTAATTTAGGTTGTCAATCTGTGCTGGTCTGATCCCAGTTCCGTAGGAGGTTTTGTAGCCTACATACTGAAAGGAGCCATGAAGCTGGAGCTCAAACAATTGCAAAAAAGCAAGTTTTTCCTCAGGGCAAAGTCTCCCAGTAACAGTGCAATCTCAACATTGTTTTGAAAGGATATATACCATGTCCCTGCCTGTGTTAGAACTGATCCAGAAAAACAGAAATAGCAGCACAGTATTTGTTCAAGATAATAAAAAGATAATTTGAGATTCCAACAAGCTGTTTTCATCCTTTTGTCGTAAAAAATTATGGTAAAAACTATGGTATTTTATAAATCATAGCTAGTAAGCAATGAAGAAATATTAATCTCTGCAGCAACTTGTATTTATGACACTTTGGGTTGGAGAGGGTGAGAGGCAATATTAACTGGATAGCTGAACGTATTCACGATCTAAATGCAATTAATTCTTAATCGTAAATTTTAAGGGCTTGGACACACCAATGGAGTGCCACAGGATAACATGTTACTGTGTTTCACCTGATCTTTGGTAAGTGGGTGCAGACACAGATTAGAGCTACCTTACCTAGCTCTCACCCTAAGATATCAATGATAAATTGTATTGCTATTATGAAAGTGATTCATGACAAGAAGAATGGCCTTGTCACTGCTGAACTAAACTAGAATTTGGGATATCCTCTGTGGTTCTATGAAGTCAGTGCTGGGATTTAGTTTCTTACCTAGGCGGAAAGACAAAGGAACTAGCACACACCCTATATAAAAAGCTCTGCACGCCTGAATCATTCATTTTATAATGATCAGATACTACAGGAATAGGTATCATCACACTGAGAACCAGTAAACCTAACAGTGATCATTACTTCCTTTGATTTCTGCATTGTAGATCAGAGAAATACTTAGTTCATTATCAGCTTCTTCAATACTTCTTCATAGTAACTAAACTGAATTTCAAATCCAGCTGTTTCTAACCATTCTAAGTCTAGCAATTGGTTAAAACAACTGGAATGACTAGAAGTCATAATACATAAAAGGGCTTGCTTAAAGTCCTGCTAAGAAACAGTAGCGATGACTAAATCTTCAACAAACCTAAAAATCAGGAACAATAAAGTAATAGTATAATTTTCTGAGGAAATTACAGCCAGTAATAAAAAGGTTTGAAGACCTTTTTCAGACTTTTAACTTGTTAAATAATTTCCACAGGTTTTCACATACATGCTCTACATGCTAAATTTTGATATTAATGAGCCAAACTTTAACGTATAAACAAAAGATCATCAAGTATGTATTGGCAAGCTACTGATGTATTTGTTAAGTGTATGAAAAGAAGAACCAAACAGGAGAGCTAAGTAGCTTAGTAATGTACCACTTGATTTTATGTGTTTCTGCATATGCTAGTCATGACTAGAAAATTAAGCGCAATAAAAGTTAAGGTAAAAAACACACCACCCTCAGTATCTTTTGATGTAAACTCTGTCAGAGGAAATAAATCCAGCCATTGGATGGCATGGAAAAGACAGTTTACAAAATTCTTGTAAGGTGAAGACGAGATAAACCACAATGTTTGTTTCGTGAGGTAATGTGCACATTACTAAGATGAAGGGAGCAGCAGCTCTCAAGCATATGATGCATCCAATAACATATTTCTTGAGTTTATTGTACAACAGCTGCAGGGATGGGCCGACTTCCCTCTCACAAAAACAGAACGGGGAAGTGAGGGCAGGTCCCACGCAGGAAATTGTTCCACGTTCCCCAACTTTGCAATTATTTCACAAAGCCTCTGACTCCTTTTTATACTAAGAGACAAGGTCACGCCTGCCCTAAAATTTACTTCCTTCCCTGCCTCTCATGAAGGTGTTACCTACCGCAGCACACAGCTACTGAAGTGGGAAGCAGGAGGCAAGAGAAAACCAAACCAAACATCTGCAGTCCATGCTTCAATATTAAATATTTGCAGATGTTCAACCTTTATGCCAAAATAATTTAAGAGATTAAAGATACATTGATTACACATGCTCAGGCTTTAAGACAAATACATAAAGCAAAAGTATTTTTTATTTGCAAAAAAGGACTAGCAAGGCAAATTTCTTAATATTGTTACATTTCCTTAAGTGGCTGAAATGCTACATTTTCCAAGCGTGTAAAAGAAGTACTTTTTAACTAATTTGTCTTTGAAACAAAGCTAAGCCAGGAAACTTTCAGAACCACACGAAAGCTTTTTCAGAAATAATGTAAGAAAAAGTGCTTCACTACTGAAAAAGGTGTATTACAAAAGTAACACCCATTGGACAAAATCCTTCTATTAAGTGGGAGCATCAACACAAAGCAGAGGAAAGCTCAACAAAATAATCAATGCTTTATCTACAAAGGTACAAGGGAAGAAACAGACGAGCCTTGCAAGTCAACAAGTGATGCTCTAAATCATATTGTTGAAATAGCAGAATGAAACGGATGGAGAACACATTGTATTTCATAATATAAACAGATCAGCAAAAGCCTCAAGGAATTACCAGCTGGGAAGCAAAGTAATGTAATTTTTTTTTTCACTGTCCAAAGGAAGAAATCATTGTCAGGTGGCATTGAACAGAGTATGTAATAAATACACTTTGTGCATAAATGAAAAATGGATACAAAATGAAGAGGAGCAACAACTGTTTTATAAAAATATGTAAAACATTAACATAGTTGAACATTGAAGAGTTAGTGACAAGCAAGAATGAGCTGTGAGACGTACCGCTGATTCCCAGTGGAGCTTCGTCACTAGACAGGCTGCTGATACTAAAACGTAACCTGCTAAGGAAGCTATTTCCCCATTTGTCTGTCCTTGCCCATTCTGCCTCCATCTTACTTTTTCCAGGGGTTACCGCTTACAGGACTGAACTGACCCCTAACTAAACCCATTTTGAGACAACATCTGTTTTAATATGCATATTAAAAACCACTGAGTTTGACTGAAATAAATATGGAGTGACTAATCTATCTCTCCTAGCAAACTTCAGAATTGGTAACCTCTGGTAGGAGAATAGGGTAATGAAAAGCAGGTGATGGATGACTAGACCTTAACTTAAATCAGATGCAGCTGAAAAAGTACACCTGAGTGTTCTAACATCAGGCCTTCAGGAGGAGCCCAGTAACACATCACCTACATATGAGGAAGGCAGATGTGTACAGCATTAGATAGTACATATTAATCAGTATTTACACACACCTAGAAGGCACATCAAGAATTTGTAACAAAAAACCCAAACAAACCCAAAAAACCAAGAGTGAATCCTTCTGCAAATATTCCTCTTTCTACAACTCAGTTTCTCAGGTTGGGGGATTAAGTGTCTATAATTTTTCTTCTAAAGATTTGTAAAAATGAGTTAATCCACTCAAGTCTCTTCCACCAGGAGAGAAGATCCAAACTAAGTGCAATTGTTTTTAATTTGAAAACATTGAATGGACACAGAAAGAAACAAACTGTGTATACTTTAAACAAATATAGGCTAATTATAACTGGTTTTGTCAGTTTCTGTAATTCCTTTTCACACTAAGTGCATTGATAGGTATTATATTCACATGTGGTCAATCAAGTATTGAAAACCCAAGGGAAAATGCTTGTACTTAATACAGTGTATAGACAGTAGGGTTAACACACTGCTCATTTTCATCTATTATGAAGTATAACAGAAACAACATGCTCCCAAGACTTCAGAGAAGTCCTATTTCAAAGCTGGAAGGTGGGGAGGAATGGCAAGGAGGACTGAATTATTCTCAAAAAATATTTATCTATTTCACTGAGATCAAAAAAGCTGTTGCCTCAAAGAAAAAAAAAAAAAGGACATAATTTTAGAAATGTTAAAAAGAACTATCAGTACCTAGGATTTCAACTGATATTTGGGAATGCATTTAAAAAAAGTTGAAGCTTTAAATTTCAAAGCCAATTTTTTTCTAATTTCCCGTGGATTATGTTACTAATTGAGAATATGTGGGAAATATTTCCCACAATTATGTTTACAAAAGTCAAGTTCCAGTGATAATTAGCAGCTATCCTAACACACGTGGAAAACATTAAAATCACTTGAAATGATAAATAGTGTTGATTTTATGTAACAAAATGTACACTTTAAATACATAAAAAGTTATATTGGGTCAATCCCAAGGTCCACAATGACCTGTATGCTCTGACACCAAGTAGTAGTAGATGCCTACAGGAAAAGGTTAAAAAAAAAAAGCAAATAATGATACTTTCCTCAGTAGATGTATTAAGACAGTCAGCAACACGAGATTCTGGAGGTTTCTATCCCATAGGCTGTATCTTTATTTAGAAGGCATCGGTGATTGTTTTCTCCCAGAATTTGTTAAACTGGTTTATAAAACTGCATGAATTTTTGCATCCACAATATCCTGTGGCAAGCAGTCCCACAAACAGATCACACATGCATGAGGAAGCATATCTCTTAGTTCATTTGAAATTACCATGTTGGTTTAATTAAA